GAGAGGTGGTGGATGCTCCATCCCTGGAGACGTTCAAGGCCCGGTTGGACGAGGCCCTGAGCAACCTGATCTAGTTGGAGATATCCCTGTTCCTTGCAGGGGGGTTGGACTAGATGACCTTTGAAGGTCCCTTCCAGCCCTAACCATTCTATGATTCTATGATTCTTCAAACCTGCGCATCCGTTATGTTTAAGAAGGTGATTATGTCTGTCCATTGATGAACCAAAGGGACCCACGCTTGATCCATGCACACAGAGTTGAAGCCCTGGCAGCAATCCCACCTTGACTGTATTTTTAGCAATTTCTCTCTGTGTATGCTTTTTTCTCCGTTTTAAGCACCTGACTGCAGCCTTCCAGTGCTTAAAGGGGCTACAGGAAAGCTGGAGAGGGGCTTTTTACAAGGTTATATAGCAATAAGACAAGGGGTAATGGATTTAAACTGAAAGAGGGGAGATTTAGATTAGAGATAAGGAAGAAATTCTTCCCTCTGAGGGTGGTGAGGTACTGGCACAGGTTGCCCAGAGAAGCTGTGGCTGCCCCATCCCTGGAAGTGTTCAAGGCCAGGTTGGATGAGGCTTTGGGCAACCTGGTGTAGTGGAGGGTGTCCCTGCCCATGGCAGGGGGGTTGGAACTAGATGATCTTTGAGGTCCCTTCCAACCCAAACCATTCCATGATTCTATGACTGGTGATGTTGATAACGGTGCTGGTGGTCTGGTGAAATGCTCTTCAAATTAACGTATCACTCTTGACTCGCTGACCTGTATATTTAGGCATCTTTCCCCAGAGAATTTCGAAGCAGTGGAACGGTGAGCGCTGTCTTCGCACGCCGGGTCCTTACGATTTCTCCGTAGGTCTGTGCATCCTTTTCCTCTCGCAAACAGCCTGGGCTTTGGCGTAAGCCGATCCTGCTCCAGCAACCTCAGCAATGTACCGAGCGCCTCTTGCCAAGATCTCAAACAATAGTTGATTTTGCTGTTGCTGGAAGGGGGGGGAGCCCTGCCAGGCGTCCCGCTGGGCGCGGGGCGGAGGCTCCGTTGAACGTTTCGCTTGGGGTACGCGCTTTCGGCGGCGCGGGAATCGCAAAGCGGGCACCTCCTTGGGGGCATGCCAGGGGCTGAGCTCCCTGCCTGCCTCCGGCAGTGCTCCCAGGCGCTCCGAGATCCCCGGTTCCCGCGGGGCCAAAGCCGAGGTGGTGGCTTGAGGAGCACCCGGCAGCGCGGAGCCCCGAGCGCGGCGGCACGCACGGCAAGTAGGGTTCGTTGACGTGATTCTTTAGCAGATTTTTTTATTTCCTTCACCAAGCCATCCGAGGTCAACGGGAGAGCGCTGGCCGAAAAGGTGCTGTTATAAAAGGCTGGTTTTGTTTCCAACCACCATCAAGGCGTGCTGGTTTGGGGCTGTCATTCATAAACCCCATCAGTCCATCAATCCCCTCTCCGCAGCCAGAGGCTTTATGTGTATGTATGTCCGGAGCAGAGGTTTCCCTTAGCACTCAGTTCCCACAATGGGAGCAGTGTTGAGAGTTCTGTTGGAGTGACAGCTTTCTAATATATTAAATCTTGTCCCACATCTCCAGAAAGATTTGTTAGAAAAGGTCATACCAAGGTTCTTTATTACAGCAGAATATTTTTATTTTTTTTCGGTGTTCTGCAGTGTTAATGTATTATGAGATCTTGCCTAAATTAAAAACAAAACAAGACAAAACTTGCCAACTCCCCTGAGAAATATCCTGAGCTGCCTTTATCAAAACAAATGAAAAAGTGCATTTTGTGATGCAGTATTCATGGTTGTTTTGGGGGGTTTTGTTTTTCTTGTTTGTTTCTTTTTTAAAAAAAAAAAACAAACCACACACTTTGTTTCCACAATTGGTAATTTGCAGTATTTGGGACTTTTTAATAGGCCTCCTGACTGTGAGCATGGCTTGTTGAGACTCTGCTGCTTTGCAAATGCTGTGTTAAAACTCTCATTTGTGACTTTCTGTACCCATATTTTACAGATTTAGCTATTTTAGATGTTTGCTCGCCGGAAAAAAACAAAACAAAACACAAAAGAAAAACAGACAAAGAAATTGTCAGAAGCAAAACAAGCTTGTTTTAGAGCTGTGGGTAGAGTATATTTGGCAGCTGATTTCTTTTTGCTCTTTAAGATTCACAGCTTCCCTTCTGTTTATTTTTAAGCTATCTTCGAATTTTGCATTAAAAGGTTACATATTCTAAGACCAGCTTAACGATCATATTTAAAATAAAAGAGCTTGTCCTGCACGTTCACTTTAGCTCTTCATTTTCTCTTCCCCTTTTGCTGAACTTCAGTCACATGGGTTAAAACTTTTCCTGAACTTGTTTCTGTCCATGTGCTGAGTTTTAAAAGGTATTTTTCTTACCCAGAGTACAGTAATTCGGTAGGAACTGCATGTACTTTTGTCAAACCTTTAAACCCACAGACTTCTATAAACTCTGCAATTAGCTCGACTTTTGGTTTATGAAAATAATGTAATAAGTCACTGTTTAGCAACCTTGTGAGGAGGGTTTAAGTTTTTAAGTTCAGTTGAAAAACTTTTGCTATGGGACTGTCGGGGAGAGTTGGGTTTTGCTCACGCAGATACAGCACACGCAGTTTCTAATCCAGCGTCGTCAGAGGTGGTCAGTGTTTGTGATCCATCTGACAGAGACATTGATCTAGAAGATGTTTTCAAAAATGGTTGCTCAACCTCTAAGAGAATCTCTGCTGAAACATAATTATTTTGCCAGATACATAATACGTGAAAATGCAGCGTCAGCATCGCTATGAGCGCAGTGTGCCAGAGTCACATCTCTGCTTTCTGCTTCCTTAGGATGGAAACTGATACTGAAACAGAATCTCCTGTACCACTGGATGATTTAAAGTCTGTTATGGATGGAAACGAAGAAGATGAAAAGCTTCAAGTTAAAATACAGGCTTTTGAAGAGAAAATAAATGTCGACAACAGTACTCCTGGCTCAGTGCGGAGGTACAGTTTGGGCCAGGTTTCTAAAGAAGAAAGGAAAGATATGAGATTTAACAGGTATGGCTCTGTGAAATGTGTGAGTGCTTTTCATGAATATTGGTTTTGTAATAAAACTTTGTCCAAACATTGAGAATTTGGTCTGCTTGCATGATACCTATGGGCATCGTAAGTCTAATTTTAACCGAGTGTCATACCCATGAGTTCAAAGGCTGGATAAAATCTTTCTAAATTATTTCTTTAATCTCTTCTGCGCCTTGAAACAGCACAAGGGATAGGAAAATGTTTGCATACAGATATTACTAGAAAGGAAGATGCAGAGGTCTCTGTTGGGTATTATTGCTAACAATACATACCAAATGTATTGTTAGCAATAGTATCAAATCAAAATCAAATTTTGCCCACGTGCTGCGTGAGACGAGCACGGCTCTCCCGGGACCATGTCTGAGATCGGGGCTCAGGCAGGAACGTGCATCCACCATCTCCTTAGGCTTTCTCTTCCTGCTCCAGTATTCCCACGTAGACCCTGCCCTGCCCTACCATGACGGTTCCCTCTGCCGTGGGGAAGCCGGGATGTCTCCTCCTCTCCTGAAGCTCTGCCGGGCGCGCGGTCACTTGCGTGGTCACTGCTCCTCCCGGTCTCTGCGGACACGCGTCGCCTCGGCAAGCGTTCAGCCACTTCGCTCCTACCCTCCGTACTCTTGCAGAGGCTTGACTTCATCCTCAGTGTGTAGGTACTGGGAAGAACTGGAGGCTGCATCTTGGTTCAGGCTCAGGTTTGGTTCAGTTCGATGGCTGCTGGATGGCATTTTCGTGATGTGATCAATAAAGCATATGCTCCAGTGCTGGGATATTAGGAAAAAATTTTTTACCATGAGAGTTGTAGAACACTGGAACAGGTTGCCCAGAGAGGTGGTGGATGCTCCATCCCTGGAGACGTTCAAGGCCAGGTTGGACGAGGCCCTGAGCGACCTGATCTAGTTGGAGATATCCCTGTTCCTTGCAGGGGGGTTGGACTAGATGACCTTTGAAGGTCCCTTCCAGCCCTAACCATTCTATGATTCTATGATTCTTGCGGATAAAGAGTTGATTAGCTCTGTCCATGGCGTGCAGATGTTGTGATATATGGATATTATTTAGTTTCATTTGCTTATTAAAGCTGTGGCTCGAGTTTTGCCTTTGAAATGCATATCTATCAAAAGATACTTGCCTCTGGCTAAGCAAGCCCTGCGTTGGGCTCTCTGAACCGAACAGAGGTAACACGCAAGAGCATGTCCAGGTGATTTTTAGTGTCTTACCTCCATTCTAAAACATGTTTCCTTTCCTTAATCATCTTCCAGGTCCAAAAGCCTCGCTTTGCACGCAGTCCGCGTGAAGGGGGTGAGCTCGGAGAGCGGGCAGGACGAGGAGAACGGGGAGATAACTGCTGGCATCTCCTTCACCGAGATCATCATCAGCCAAGAAAACGACAAGTCGCCTTTCAGCGTTGATGCTGAAGCAATGCAACTGGGAAATGCTTTGGTTGCACACCAAAGCATCGATTACACACAATCAGCAGATTTGCCAGAAGCTACTAAAGAAAAGGTCCTCGAAGGAAGCGCAGAGGCAGTGAGGAGCCCCGTGGAATACCAGGACAAGCTCTACTTGCACTTGAAGGAAAACCTGGGTAAAGTGAAAGCTTATGTCATGGAGATGGGGAGGAAAATTCCTATCCCCGATCAGTGTGTTATTGAAGGTAAGAGGTCCGAGCCTTTCCCATTGCAAGAACTTCAACGCTACGCTGAAAGTCATCACGGGGTTTGCTCAGATGGGCAGCTGAGATCCTCTAGCACAGAGCTTATGGAATAGAATCATAGAATCATAGAATCGTTAGGGCTGGAAGGGACCTGCAAAGGTCATCTAGTCCAACCCCCCTGCAAGGAACAGGGATATCTCCAACTAGATCAGGTTGCTCAGGGCCTCATCCAACCGGGCCTTGAACGTCTCCAGGGATGGAGCATCCACCACCTCTCTGGGCAACCTGTTCCAGTGTTCTACAACTCTCATGGTAAAAAATTTTTTTCTAATATCCAATCTGAATCTACCTCCCTCTATTTTAAAACCATTACCATATAGCGATAGGCAGGAACATTAGTTTTATACAACAACGTCATTCACAAATTGCAGTGTCCTGAAATCTTCCAGGACCGTTGTTCTTTTCCTTCAGGGATATAGTGCAGCCCTCACCTATCCCAGGCTCCCACGAAGGTTAACGTGAGGATTGCCTTTTGGCTGTCACAGGCAACCAACCCCCTAGCTCTCTGGGGAAGAGCAGGACCTGTCACCCTGAGCTGAAGAGATGTGGCTGTTGGCTAGGGCTGGCAATGTTTCTGGGCACATCTGCCAGGCAGGCACGGGGAACATCACCCAGCTCCAGGCTGTACGTTACGGAGCTGTGTTAACAGTCGTGGAGCGTTGAGTGCAACAGGGTGCACGTGCCATGGGTTGGGCTTGGCCACGCGTGTCTGTGGGTGAGCAAGGACTAATACTTAAGCCTCCTCCTTGGTCTGCTGGGTTGGTCTAGAGCAGATCTGTGCCTCGTTCCTCATTATCATATATGATTAAATCAGTTGACTTGTAAGGTACACCAGGTCAGGACCCTCAGGTCAGCACATTCCCTTCCAGACACAAAGCTCCTTGAAGGTGTGACAGGATGAGACCTCCAGTGCTTTGGGTTGGGTCGGATCCTACCTTATCACTTCCCCGGGGTTGTTTAATGTTTTCGGCTTTCATCAAGAGTGGGTATTTGTTTTTTCCAAGTGTGAGAAAGCTGGTTTTGTGAGGCTGTGGGGGAGGTGGGCGATACACTGCAAGATGGGTCTTTGATACTCCTCTTTGAAGTAAATACTTCAGGTTGGGTCATGAGCCTTTTGCTTATGCTGAGCAGCAGTTGCTTCCTTTAATGGGAATTTGTGTGCATCTAACCATGAGCTGGTGGCTGTGAGCTATTTACAGCCCAGCCCTTCAATGGGCCACATTGATTCCAAAGAGTAGCTGACTCAATAAATTAAATGAATTTGCAGTCACTTAAAACATCGTCTTCTAATAGTACGTAACTTCAGGTCCATCAAATGTCAGCTTTTGTTGATAAAATATTTTTTGTTTACTTTTTCAGAGGCCAAGAAGTTAAAAAGCAGTTTCCACTCATAAAAGGGATGTAACTCTATATATTTTAAAAGCTTGTGTTTCTGAAGAGTTTCCTAAATATCTTAAATTCCAGATTTACTATTGGAAATAGTTCTTTTATGGAATTAATGATAAAACTTGGAAACATGAGAATGAACAATCTGGCTTTTGAAGTGCTGAATGCTATGACCTTGCATTAATCAAATACAATACGTTGAATATTTTTAAATGTATTGCTCAGTTTCCTTTCTGAAGTACCTATTATGATATGCTCTAAGCATGTGACTATTTCTAAATTCATTCAAACTATTGTAATTTCCTGAAAATCCTCAACTAGCATTCTTAGGAAACTCTCTGAGTAGGGACACATGTGCAGAACAGGAGATTTATGTGACTCATTCTGAATACATTGAAGAAATGCAGTCTGGCTCATTACGCAGGGGACAGCTTTGTTAATATTTTAGATATTACACAAACCACTCCATGAAAAACCTTGCTGTTATTGGAATTCTGTGATTCCTGCACGCTTTAAAGGCCCACTCAAATGTATCTTACTTTTCAAATAAGATGTTTAGGAAATAGTAAGAAAATATTAATAAACATAGTTGGGTAATTTTACGTTGGTTATGTAGGAGTTTGTTGAACTGGAAATTTAATACATTAAACAGGAAAAATATGAAAAGATAGGTACTTCAGAGCAATCTCCTGCGAAACAGAGTACTTGAAGGAAATAGTGGCAAAATGTGCTGCAAGAAAACAGTGCTGCAGTGTGCCAATAACAGAGAGAGCAAATGTCCCCACGTACCCCTCGTTAGTAATGCCTTCCTGGGCTTCCACAGCTCAGCAAAGCATTCGTGTCAGTCGTAAGAATTTCCAAGTAATGATGGGCCAAATTCAGTTCACTTCAACAGAAGGGACCTACAGGAAAGCTGGAGGAGGGTCTTTTTACAAGGGTGTGTAGTGATAAGACGTGGAGCAATGGCTTTACTCTGAAACAGTTCTGGGGATGCAATACCAAGAGCAGTAGGAATGAAAGGAAGAGGCTGCTGAAGGTTTTCCAAATGTAGAGTCGTTGCTTTGCGGAATGACAAAGGACATGCAGTTCAGTGCTGACAAAAAAGCAAACAGACAAAAGAATTATTAAGAAAAATAGATACCTTGTGATGACATCATTATGTCGTTGTCTGCAATAATTGGAGCCTGCATCTTGAAGGACAAAATAGACCCGTAGCTGGAGCACAAGGATAATCAGAGACCTCCATATGAAGAAGAAGGGACTCGGACTCCACAGTGTGGAAAAGAGACAGCTGGTAGAGATCTGCAGAACTGGCAATGACTGGGAAGATTACCTGGGGGTGGTGGCTCACTGTCTGTCCTAATACAGGTACTAGAGAACATGTAATGAAGTTGTCAGGAAGCAAATTCAAAATACACAAAATAGGCACCTCTTAACACGTAATTAGATGCACGTAATTAATTGCTACGGTACATTAAGTATGCTGAAAGGGTACCTGGTTTCAAAAGTGATTAGGTACATTAATGGATTAGAGCTGTTCAAGGGTTATCAAAATAATCCCACCCCTGACTCTGGAGATGCCGGAGCCACAGATGGAGGTACCAGGAGAGGAGGAGGGAAATTACTGCTTCGCTCCTCGCTTACAGCTTTTACTCGCCCTTTGCGAGCTAATTCCAGGACAGGGTACTGGTGGGGCTTCCTGACTTGCATCACAATTGCCATTCCAACATCCCTCGAAAGGACAAAACTTGAGAAAATTAGATTTCTTAGCCAAAGTAGGAGAAAACTGAAGGAGGACTTGATAACGATTTTCAGTTATGTGCAAGACAGTTAAGGGAACAGCCCATGGTGGACAAGGCAAGAAATAATGTAAATACCAATAAAAAAAAGATTCAGCTTAAACAGGAGAAAAAGCTCTCTAGCTTGCACTGGCAGAGGTGGTTGTGGAGGTTAAAAGCACGTGAAAAAAATATGAAAACTGCCTAGGCAAGGCTGCGAGGTGTGACAGATCTGCAGAAGGGTTGGTGCTCCCTAAAACATTTCTAGTTTTCCACGTACATCAACTGGATTAATACAGGATTTTATTTCTCCTGAAACTTGCCAATGTCCCAGGCACTCCTGGCTCGGAGTGTGGGCAAGGGGGCAGATCTGATGACCACTCCAGGTCCCCCCCGTGTCTTTGATTGCGTCATCTGCTCTGTAACATTGTCCGTGGTTTGCAAATTTTTTTTCGGTGTTGATTCAGACATTTGCTGTGTAGGTATTAGCCCTCACAAAATATTTTTGCTTTACAGGGTGTGTTTTTTCAGTCTCCTTGTTGACTTATAAGCTCATTTGATTTATACTATATGTCAAAATTTATGTAATATTAACCCCAGTGTTTGATTTTACAGCTGTGAAGGGATACAGGCTAAGAATTGGAAGGGTGGATCCATGGTCAGTCTGTGACAGTTAATTTGAAGCTGCCTCCTATAAACATTGAAAAATTGACAGGTTCTCAACTCTCTTCTCTCCTTTAGTATTTGCTATTTTTGGTTACATGTGCTTCAGGCAGAGGAAAGTTGTGAATTGGGTGAAGATCCTACAGCAGAAGTAGGGTTAAGAGTGGGCTGTTGTCCAGAATGTCTTGGACAAAGAAAGTGGTCGAGTTGAGGGTGTTTTGAAGAGCAGACAAGCTACAGCAGCTTACCAGATACGTATGTGTACGTGCATAAGTGAATCTTTTGGAACTAACCCTGCAGTCAAGAGTGTGGATTTAAACTGGGGCAGCAAGAAGGCATCTGAAACCACAAAAATCCATTTATTTTAGCTTGTTTCAGTTTGGGGCTGATGGTTTGGTTCAGTTCCTGCTTGGTTTGAACCACTTTACCCAGATGCACATCTCTGCCATACCTTAAGCAATTTGAGGCATTCTTTTTTGTCATGTTCATCACTTTAATCCTCTTAATCCTGTGGATCTTTTCCTAAAATAAAATGAAATGCCACCATATTTGTCAGGCAGTTTAGCTTTCATGTGGCTAAGCAAAGTAGATTTCATCAGCCCATATTTTTCTAGATGGTCTGTGATCTTGTATCTTATAGGTACCTTCAGGGTCTTGAGATAACAGTGCCCCAGACTTGTGCATCTGTGATTTCCTGAGTTTCACTATTGCTTTTCAGTGTAGACTGGGCAGGATTTCCACTGCCTCGGTGTGGCTGGGATCCCAGGGATGAAGAACAAGAGCCCGTGTTTGAGATCCCCACGTTGCATTTGCAGTTTCTCCACCTCTGAAGGATCCTTCAACCTTTCTGCTTTTGTGGGTCTCGTGTACCCTTCTGGGGAGACAGGGCTGGCGATGGTTTGAGCAGGTTCCTTCAAGAGGCTTAGGTGAAAGATGACATTCCTGTTTTAGCCCCGATTACCCCTGCATGAAGCAGAGGGTTCTTGAGCAACTGGGAGGCTCCACCTGCTCTGGCCTCACTGGGTCTCACCTTGAACCCTGCGTGTTGGACAATTTTTGACTTACTCTTCTTGTTTCCCAGAAAACATAGGGGTGGTGGATCAAATCATGGCC